GATGCTGAAAGCGCTTCAGGCTTGTCCAGTTTGTCTCAGGCAGCACGAAGGGAGAGATCTTCCAAACCTGTCTGGGTGCCACTTTGTGCCCCGAGCTCTGGGTGTCCCTGCTGGAGCAGGGGTTGCACTGGATGAGCTCTAGAGGTCCCTTCCAACCTCGGGCATTCTGTGTGGWCTTGTCCTCAGCAGGGTCTAGCAAAGCTGGCTCTAGGCCAGGGCTGCTCCTGCGGCCGTTGCAGTGGTCGCTGCAGCCAAGGCCCAGGTCCCACAGCTTCACTGCAGCTGCTGTCCAGGCCAGCCACCAGATTCTGCAGTGCTCCATAGCTGTCCTGGGCTCTTGTACTATTCGAAACCACAAAGATAAATTTGATTAAAACAATAAAAACACCACTGTGTACGTCAAAGGAAACGCATAAGAGCTTGATAGCAAACATATCTCTGGCCTCCAGAGGTTCATGCCTGAGGCAATGCTTTTCTAAGCAACTGTAATTAAGACAGAACATGGGCTTTATCTACGGAAAAAAAAAAAAAAAAAGGGAAATGAAGATATTTAATGAGGACATTCGCACCCCAGGCTGATATTAGCTCACTGCAACCTTAAAGCAGGTTCGCTGGTACTCCCAGCACGGCACATTGTGTGCCACGGATTTTGGCCAGGATCTGGCTGCTCTCTAATTTATTGCACTCCCCCGGCAGGTTTTACAGTTCAAACCTGCCCCAGCTACGCTACTACCAACACTCAGCTACTTGATTTCAAAGATGTGTTTAAACTGCAGACGCGGGTTTTGCTGCCCTTCAGATCTGCCTCTGGAGAAACCTAAAAAACAAAGTTGAAGACCTGGACACTGGTTTGGGCATATTCAAAGGCACCCTCATTGCTGTGACAAGAGGGTGATGCTGGTATGGACTGTAGGCAAGAAATAAGATTAACAGAAATGGAAGAGAGGTCTAAGGTCTAYGTTTTCATGATGATGAGCATGAACAGAGAATTAAACATTTATGACTAAGCACCAGGGGCACTGACAAAAAAAATCAATTTATGTAGCAGACTGCCCAACAGCTCCACAAGGCATCATCAGAAGTTCTGGAAGGCAGAAAGATCCATAATGAAATATATGCAACTAAAAGAAAAATTCACTGGACCAGCAAGAAATGGCAGATACACATTAGTTAAAGTACCATTGTGTCTTCCTACTTTGATATGTTTTATCTAGATATTAGAAACCAGGTTAAATAATGTGTTTTTCCTCTGTGACTTTTTACATTACACACTAAATATAAATAACTAGTTTTCTTGTAACAGTAAAGATAACCATGCAATTCTCTCTATTAACCAGAATAGAGCACAAAAAGAGGAATAAATCAGAGTATATGCAGCCACAGGGGTATAAAACAGGTAACCAGGCTCCTGCAAGAGCCCTAACATAACGCAAACACCTATAGGAGGGCAAGGCATCAACAGGCAGGAACGTGAGTGCAGCTCCAGCCCAAGGGGACTGCCATGGGAATACACACAGTTGTTGATCTTTGTACCCCAAATGCTGCACTATGTTACTGACACAATAGTGCACTTGTGGGCCAGATGAGTTACCTGATTAATTTTCATAACTGAGATGATCTCTGAAGGTCCCCTCCGACCTTAGCAATTCTAAACAAATCAAATCAGCTAAAGCTCTTGATGATTTTCTTATATTTATATTCAACTTATGTCATCCACAATCATCTAAACTGTGCCAAGTCAATATGATTCCTGCTGCAGTAATTCCTAAGTAATTCAAGGTGCATTTGTTTTTCTTTTGTTTTTTTTAAATAACAGAAAGCAAACTGGACCAGCTTTTTCAAATGAAAACACTTAAACTGACTCATTTTTTTTGTCATCTGAGTAGCACTAACATTTTTCTGCTTTAGCATATCACCTGCCACATATTCATAAGTCATTTATGCCTTTACAACACAACAAGAAAATGTAGCTGGGAGCTAATGGCATTTCACTTTTTTTTTTTTTTTTGCACACCTACAAAGACTTCAAAAATACAAARCAGGCTTAAAGCCAAAGACACTGCGCACAAGAATGTCATCTATGAAGTTAAAGAGCTAGAATATTGTTATTTCCCATTGCTCCAAAACCACAATTGCTTACTGAACTACTAGATGATACATAATAGGAACTAAACTAATTAAGATATTTCATGTACAGGATGGAGAAACATGTCTTCGCACACAGATAACTCGCCTGCAATCAGAGGCCAAGGCAACGAGAAGTCATTGGAAGGAGGACACGAGATTTTGGAGAGAAGGAAAGTGGCTATAAGGGATGAGATGCAAGAGGAGACTAATGGTGGGAAAGGAGGCCACAGGGTAGACATACACAGGGTACATAATTATCACTCCTGCTGAATCATCAGGAAGCTGGGGGAAGAGGAGGAATTAAAAACATAAGGCTTATAAAATCTTGTTGCTTTGCCGCTGCAGTGCACGTGACYGTGACTACGAACATCATATATGGTATGGTGGGTGACTGGGACAGCCACTTTATCAGCTGCAACTTGCCAAGTGCAAACATTACTCTCAAAAGTTCATGTAAAAAATAAAAGATGACAGAAAAAAATCATGCTATTTTCATCCTATAGAGATTGAACGTAGGATATTTCAATAAGATGTTTTTTTGAAGCATTATGTGCTTTTTCAAAAGATGCCAAACAACTTGCATGGAAGAACTGAAAGTTCACTTTTAATTTCTCCTGTAAAATCATATTCAGAGATACTACCAGAAATGGCCCAATACACCATTTACTCTACCCAGTGCCATTACATCCAAGTTTCACTTATAGTCCAAATAATCCAAGCAGTGTATGCAGGCAAGTAATTGTGACACATACAAAAAAAATAATAGCTAAACATTTGGGCACAGACAGAAGGATTATTTCTGTTGTCTGACAGCATGGTGGCACTTATTTTTTCTCCCTTCCCTGGGTGGGTCCTCGGAGAGTGTTTTTTTAAAAGGGTGCTCTATATAAAGCTTTCAATGAAGACCCTTAATTCACCAGAAGATAAAATGGCACTTCAGGTACTCGTGGAAGAAGCAATGAGACAAGTGTAGGAGTATGGCAAGGGAGTGCTCAAGAGAACGGTTCAAGAGCAGTGAAGGGGGTGGAAGTGTGGGAAGAGACTAGAACAGACGTAGGCAGCAGCCTTAAGAGTCTGCAGTAAGAAATGCAAATTTCATACACTAGAAGCAAGTAAAAAAAGTCATGTAGGGATATGATATCACTCAAATGATTAGGAACATGATTGATATCCCAACAGCGTCTCCCAAGCCGTGGATGGGGAATCTATGAAAAGATGTCCTGTATTAGCGTTTCTTTACCTAACAGTGCTTGTGAAGGCAGCCTGGGTTGCCTATTGTGGCAGACAGAAAAGGAGGAGTCCAAACTTGGAGGTGGTAGTGCCTGGGACTGCTCTCCAGCAAGGTCCTCTCTTGGGCAGAGTAAGAGGTAAGCAATGAGTAACCTCCTACACAGACCTCAGGATGAAGGGTCTGGAATATGAAGGGTTAAAAGGAGCATTACTGAATACAACCTGCTCCAGGTGAGCCCACAAGGAAAGAAAAAATAAATTAAAGGGTCTTTGTCACTAACAAAACTATACCTGAGCATGACTGGAGAGAGAAGAACTAAGCTGAATAAAAAGGTGAGGTAGGTATAGAATATGCAGTGAAAACTACAGTCATAAGCAAAAGGACAAGCCACATATTGAAAACTGCTTTGGAAAAATCAACTGAAAGGCAAATTTCCCTGGCAAGTGCAAAAGAGGAAGAGAACATACCTGTTGGGATTCTCAGAATAAAATGGCTGTGGTGAGCAATTTATTTAGAAAGAGAAGAGAAATGAATCAAACTGCAAAGCAAACATCTGTGCGTGAGACACGCCATGGGCAGGGCCCAAACACGGCCGCGTCCCGCGCTCGAAGGCCAACGGGGAGGCGGGAGGGAGCTCCAGGAGGGAGCTCTGTGCAACCGTCTCGCACAGAAGCTGTGACATATTTCGGGATACGCTCCCAGCGAGAGCCGTGCTCTTTTACTGCCTCCAAGAGGAGATCCAGATGCATCGTCACAGCCTGTAAAATATTTCCTGGCAAACTACTCGGGGCCTGAACTTTAATATGCCCCGGGGATGCATCAGTAGAAGGGTTTCACAGGAGACCAAAAGAGATARCAAACGTTCCCGCAGGAACAGCTCACAAGGTGCTATTCAGTTTAGCAGGAAAAAGCAAAGTAATGTGTATCATTATTTTTCTCAAGATTATATACACACACACATATATGTATAAAAATAAACAACTAAATGTGCTCTATAACAAACATGAGAAACCTTTTTCTGACCAAAGAAATGATMTTCATCTTGAATATTCTTCAGTAGATGTCCAAACTAATCGAGAGCAAAAGGTCCAACCACCAAAGACCAAAAACTACTCACACCAGTCACTAAATTAGTCAGCCTACCCAGATTGATAAACAATACAATATATTTTACAAAAATAATGTATCTAGATCAATTCCAAATATCTGCTAAAAAACTATCARGAATGAAATAAGTACATTCTCTGAAAATGTTTCAACAACAGAAGCTCCAAAGATTATTTCAACCTTTTAAATAAGTTGAATTTATCCAAATAGGTAGAGATAACTTTTTTTAATGTATTAACACAAAGAAAAAGAAAAGAAGGAAAAAGAGTGCACCAGAGCTATTTCKGCAGCATGCTCTCCTGCAGGGATGACATCTCTGCAAATACAATTGCTTTAGATTCTAACCTATCTATAGGTAGAGACTGTGCTATTTCAACTCCGAGCAGGCCTGTGGTCAGCTTTTGTGTGTTGAGCAGACACCCTGGTATCACTGTTTGAAAAGCAATGGGCTAGATGTGTGTTTATAAGAGTGCTCACACAGAAGGCTAGATCCTTCATAACGTTTGAAAACTTGTTGATAGACAACACGACTCACTYGCCACGCCGGAGGCGATCCCGTAAAGCAGCCCTCCTCCGTCGCTCTGCTGCTGGAAGACGTGGCTCCCCGGGGGCGGGCTCCTCTCTTGTCTAATGAAATTATAGAGCAAAGTTTTCACGAGTCTGCTGGTGTAGGGGAGGCTGAAAAACRAAAAGAAAACAGCTTTAATTGACTCAGAAGTTGCAAAATTTGGCTCAGCTACAAAGTCAATGCTGCGCACCCTTTTGTTTGCTGGAACTAGGCTATGCCTGGATTTTTTTTCTCCAAGTGATCGCTTTTTCCATCTAAGGGATAACAGATAGTTGTTATCCCACCTGGGAGCAATGTGTCTGAATCGTTTCACAGCAAATTCAAGGCAAGGCAAAAAAGCCCTCCTGGTGCTGAGTTATCTACCCGCTTTTAGGTTGGAAAGGGAAAGAATGGCAGGAYTTGCCCATTCAAAGCTGTGCCTAAACGCGCCCAACCAAAGGACTTGTGCTGCCAGCAGCCCCAGGACGTACCAGCGGCCAYGCATCAGGTATCTATGAATGATGCTCTCGCGCAGAATCTCCTTGTGAAATAACTGGCAGGAGAGGAAGACTATCAGCGTTGTCACAGCCTCCAAGGAAATGCTGTACGTGATATCTCTRCAAGAAAAAGCACATTTTTACGAAGGTTAATCTACCAGTTCTGTTTACAAAGTGCCTTCTGCCACAGGAGCACATGGGAGGCTCACATGTGCTTACTCGCTACGCAGCCGGTCTCAAGCGGGAACACGGAAATAACAAGTGGAAAAAGCAGCAACACTTCACACAGACAATGGATTATTTTTCTTAGATGTAAGCATTTTTCGGATGTGCCAAAGGACAACACAACGTAAAAACATTGATGTAYTACCCAGAGCATTGAAATTTCCATTTTCAGACTATGGTTCATTCTAATACTAATAAAAACCCCAGAACATTAATGGGACTGGTTCTTTGTCCTGCTAAACACAATTGTCACTAAATCGTCATTCCAGGTGACAGAAAGGTTCAGCTTCCCAAACTCTGCTTCATTTGGCGCTAAATCGGGATCTCTAAGAAAGAGGTAACACACAAACCTTCTCTTAACTATAAGAAGGGCTTGGGATGCCAATATGCTACATATACAGTTGTGAAAATGAAGTATAAAATTCAGGATATTGCTGACTTCTGCTGTCGATCCCATGGACTGTACGGCAGTGATTGGCTGCACACAGATTAGCAAAGCTCATTAAGTTGGACAGGTCAATTAGGAAAAGCTGTGCAGCCAAGGGGAGAGGAGACTGAAGCGCTATTTCGGACACCGTGCAGTTTCTGTTGCTACCTCTACCTAAAGCAATCTTACTATGCATCATATTTCTAAAAAAGGGGAGGAAAATGGATTTTGCCTTCTCAATCAGTAAAAAGAAAAAATGCAAGTTACACAAAAACTTTTAAAACACAACGGTTCACTTCAAGGTGAACCRGTATTAGTTTTGCTTTTGACTAATAGGGGCTTTTTCCCTTCCTCTAAATGGAAGATGTCTCATCAAGTGCATCAAAAACATCCTCCAATCCATTATAGAGATTGTTAGTAAGGATTTTTAATGTTTCCTCTGCTGTTACTATATTCACAGTATGCTTCTGTAGTTAATAATACTATGCTGTGTACAACAGGTATGAGGGGTCAATTATCAAGTTACTTAGATCTCTGAATTTCAGTAAACTCTGCGGAAAATGTCAATTTATAATTCCCAAATTCAAAGACTTTACAATATCTRTATTTAAAAACACCCTCCAACATTCATGCTAAATTTACTTCTTGCCACTTTCTAACAATTATATTCTTTGCCATTGAAACAAGTGCAAATACAAAACTGCATTTTTTTCCCAAACAGTGATTTAAAACCAGTAGTGTGTATATTTGGACAAAAGGTAAACACCTAAGGAAAATAAATAAAACTGCTGCTCTTTGTCTCAGAACTCATGTAGTCCTTGCAATAAAAGGACAAGCTTTTTCTTCAGAAAAAAAATCAGCTTAATTTTCAGTGCACAACTAAATTCACATGTCAAGTGTGCTGCTAGAAATGCTATAAATAACTTCCATGACTGTAAAACACRAGGAGCAACAGTTTCAGGCATTATAGCATAGAGAGAGCTTAATTAAAACGCTTTTGTAGGAGCTCAAGGCCAGAATTTGTGAGGAAAGAGKGGAGTTATTTGTCCTAAGTCAAGAGCGAGCGGGACTTGCAATTTCCTGGCTCGCAGCACTACGCACAAGTCCACTGAGCCACACTCTGATACAAAACTGTTTTTGCAAGAGAAGGTTATACAAACCCCYTGCTTTTATTCTCTCATAATTTAAGCCTTTGAACCCATAACATTTTAAGTTCTTTGTCAGGAAAGAGACTTACTGCTTAAATAACATTCTTCCTTAGAAATCGTGACGAGCGCTTTAGCTCGCTGGGTTTTGGTGAGCTACCTGACTTGCTGCCCACCGTGCCGGGCGCTCGCCAGGGTAAATGTTGGTGATTAGAGCAGGCCAGAGGTTCTGCTGTGATCTGGTTCCACTGCACATTCAGCCGAGCCAGGGACCAGACGGAGCTGGAACCGGTTCCCAGCTCCCGACAGCCTGCGGTGGCTCCACCACGGGCTGCCTCTCGGTGTCCCTACCCCAAAGCTCACCCTGGTCGGACAGATAAAACRTGACCACGGCCCAGTGCAACGTGTGGGTCGCTCTGCTGGAGGCAACAAGTTGCACCAAGGCTGTCCTCACTTCAGTCATTCATTTAGTTCATTTTCTGACTGACCACATTCACGCAAATGCAAATCTAAAGGGACGCTGCAATATTTTTTCCCATTTTTAGAAGATTCAGAATAAAGAAATAATGATGTTACCGTAACTTTTGAAAAACTACCCTTATAAAGCTCTGGAAAAAAAGACAAAAAGTTAAATTTATGCAACTCCAGTTAGCAAGTTATTTTCCTTTTCTATCTATTCACAATCCAATTAAATAACATTTTACTGCAGATCCAATCCACTCAACCTGTCGAAGCAGATGTTTAAATTAATCCTGCTCTCATATAAATGCAGTTATGAATCCTAATACTGGGGTAACTCCTAAGATAGAGTCATCCTTAATCTTCAGAGCAAAATCATTTTCTCCGGGGGTCAAACGTAGTTTTCTGAAAGCTGAGCRTTTCTGAAGGGTCGCAACAACTACCAGGAACTTCTTCAACTTCAAAGAAAATCCTGTTTAGTTATATTGAGAGACTGTAGGAAAAAAAGGGGGTTGTTTTTGGTTTTTATTATTTTTTTTTAATGCTAACGTCCATATGGAAAGACTTTACATGGCATTTATGCTGATGTCTGACTTCCTCTTAAAATTGTTTGCTTGCAGATAAGGAGGAAACTCAAAATAATGAACTCGTGTATCAATTACACAGCAGAATTCTTTATCTCTTTCAGAAAGTCAGAAGCGCATATGATGGTTTGAGCTTCTGGACATTTTTTTATTCTCAAATATCTTACAAAAAATATCCAGAGATCTCAGCTAAAGCTCACGATGATTCCACAGCCCAAGTAAATACACCTTATAGAGGTGTATGTACAATACCGTACACAGCTTTTTTTTTTTCTGGGTTATCTAGCTTGGAGATTTCAACACTTATTCTGCTTTAATATTTTTTATTTTTTCAATATTGCCCCTCTTCCTTATCCTTCCCATTAGAGAATAAATATATTTGTAAATCAGGTAGACAAGCTAAYGGAGATCCTTATTTTGCTCTTTTAGGAAGGATCCCTTTCACAAGGGCTCAGCCGGGCAGGTACCAATGTCTAGGAAATCACTGCAACCTTCTCTCTCCTGCACTTGGGTTATTCCCTTACTCAGAGACAGCAGGTTTTAAGCACTTGTTCTCCTGGCTTTCACGTTTCACATCACAGGAGGTGGCACAAGTTCCTGCACCTCCAACCAAACAGGTCCAGTTCCT